AGGTCCCAGTACATTTTTGCTTTTGTTTCTGTTGCCTCCGGAGATGTGTTCAATAAGAAATTGCTGCAGGCAAGATCAAAGAGGTTTTTGCCTGCTTTCTTCTCGAGGATTTTGATGGCTTCCTGTCTTACATTGAGGTCTTTCATCCACTTTGAGTTTATTTTTGTGTATGGTGTAAGAAAGCGGTCCAGGTTCATTCTTCTGCATGTTGCTCTTCAGTTTTCCCAGCACCACTTGCTGAAAAGACTGTCTTTATTCAATGGGATATTCTTTCCTGCTTTGTCAAAGATTAATTGCCCATACGTTCATGGGTCCATTTCTGGGTTCTCTATTCTGTTCCATTGATCTGAGTGTCTGTTCTTGTGCCAGTACCATACTGTCTTGATGATTACAGCTTTGCAGTATAGTTTTAAGTCTGGGATTGTGATGCCTCCTGCTTTGGTTTTCTTTTTCAAGATCGCTTTGGTTATTCGGGGTCTTTTCTGGTTCCATACAAATTGTAGGATTGTTTGTTCTAGGTCTGTGAAAAATGCTGGTGTTATTTTGATAGAGATCATGTTGAATATGTAGATTGCTTTGGGTAGTATCGACATTTTAATAATATTTGTTCTTCCTATCCAGGAGCATGGAATCTTTTTCCATTTCTTTGTGTCTTAAAGTTTACATTTTTTTAACAACAGCACTAACATACTTTCTGTAGGCAGAATACTCCCTCCACCAAGAGATGTCCATGTCCTCAATCCCAGAGTCTGTGAATACGTTATCTTGCATGGTAAGGGGTCCCCAGAAGTTTCGTAAACTAAGGATTTGAGATGGATGGCTTACCCTGGATTATTTGAGTGGGCTGAATGTAATCACAGGGGTCCTTATTGAGATTGAGAAGGACTCCAGGGGCCACTGAGGCCTTTGAAGATGAAAGGGGACCAAGGCCACGGAGCACAGGCCATCAGCTTGGTGAAGCTGGAAAAGGCAAGAAAACAGATTTGTCTCCAGAGCCCCCAGAAAGAAAGGAATACGGACCTGCCCACGTCTTCATTCTAGCCCAGGAAAACCCACTCTGACCTACACAACCATAACATACGTTTGTATTATGTGAGCCACTGATTTATAGAAACAACAGGAAATAATACAACATCCACATTTCCTTTTCGTTAAAGGGTAGAGGCTGTTGTCTCTGCTTCTACACACTTTAACATGTTATTTTATTATTTGTTTAAATGTCTATTTATTTTGAGAGAGAGAGAGATAGAGAGCGTTGGGGGGGCAGAGAGAGAGGGAGAAAGGGAATCCCAAGTAGGCTCCAGCTGTCAGAACAGAGCCTGATGTGGGGCTCAAACTCACGAACCAGATCGTGACCTGAGCCGAGATCAAGAGCCAGATGCTTAACCAACTGAGTCCCCTAGGTGCCCCTAACATATTATTTCAAATGCTGTTTTTTCTCCTCCTTCAGCAATACCATAGTCATTTTTATCTTCTTCAAATAGTTTCTCATTACTCTAAGAGTGAGAACCAAATATAGAAGACGTGACTGTGATAGTGTGCCCTTTGACGTAGGCTGATCCTTTTATTCAGAAATCTTTTTTTTTCATTTCTACTATTTGCTAGCCTGTATTCTAGAAACTTGGGGGAAATTATCTCTAGTCTCGAAAGCGTAGCTACCTGGTTTCTGTTGGAGATTTTATTCTTGTTATGGAGAGAGACCTGGGTATGAATTTCAGCCATGCTTGGATAGAAAGTCCGGCTCTTCCTTATAGTAGTTGAGTTATTCTCTTTAAGTCTTCGTTTCTTTATCTGAAAAGCAGAAATGACAGTATCTATTTCATGGATCATTTAAAAGGTTTTGAAAAAGATAGTGGAAACAAAGCAGCTAGTACAAGAGACCAATGCAGAGAAACTATCCTAAAGAGAGTGATGCCTCTCTTCCACGAAAACACAGTAAACCATAGTTGGCTTATTACATTTCTTCTTGATGGATTCTTCTTTACCTGTTTAGATGCAGCTCCTTTATGGTCTCAAGAAAGAAGAGTGTAATGTTTCTTTCCAGTTGTGTGTGTCTGTGTGTAGGTGTAGGACCACGTATGACAATTCAAGATCGCCTATGTAACATTAGTCACTAAGTCAAAGTACCTTTTAACATGCTTAGGAAATGGCATTTCCAAGACATGATCTTTTGGTTTGTGGGCTCATTTTTGTTTGTTTTTTTCTGTATTTAGATAGTTTAACAAATTTATCAATCATTGCTTTTATTGAAATAAAACAGCTTTAGCCTTAAAGTATACTTTTTAACTGTATGTAAAATAAAAAGACAGGGGTCATTTAATGGTATAGTCAAACATAATTATTTTTTTTCTCAGCTCTGGTACTGCATTTTAAGCTAAAAAGATCCCTATAGGCTCTTAATATCAGCAGAATGTTTTTACATCAAATATTGTATGGTGTATCTATTTTTCTCAAAGAATCTTTGCTTTTTTATTTTTTATTTTTTTTTAATTTTTTTTTCAACGTTTATTTATTTTTGGGACAGAGAGAGACAGAGCATGAACGGGGGAAGGGCAGAGAGAGAGGGAGACACAGAATCGGAAACAGGCTCCAGGTTCAGCCATCAGCCCAGAGCTGACGCCTAAGGCTCAATCTCATGACCGCGAGATCGTGACCTGGCTGAAGTCGGACGCTTAACCGACTGCGCCACCCAGGCGCCCCTTAATCTTTGCTTTTTTAAATTAGTTCTGTAAATTTGTAGTCTTGTCATATAACCAAAAGTATGGATATCTAAAAAGACAGTTTGCTCTTTAATACTGTAATTTGTAGTATTGTCATGTAAACAAAAGTATGGATATTTAATAAGACAGTTTTACCATATTTCCAATGTTGTTTCATTACTACTTAAATTCTTCTATTTGCAGGAAAAATGTGTATTTCCCAGTACATTATTTGATAGTTCCTATGTGATATACCATATGAAAACAATTTTCTTTTGTAATCTAGGGCTAGGAAACTTTATTTTTAAATTCTGTGGCATTGATATTCTTCCTCCTTTTGATAGTAATAACAATGTTACTAATACTTTCCCACTCCTACCTTGAGAGTTCCAGAAGCTCTGAGTCCTGTTTGAAGTAGTGAAGTCACCACGTATTCAATATTTTACACATATTTGCCCATCGTATGTAGTTCACTATGTGTGATTACTGCCATGTTATTGATGAGAAACTTTAGCTCGAGGGTGCCTGGGTGGCCAGGCAGTTAAGCGTCCAACTTTGGCTCAGGTCATGATCTCATGGTTCCTGAGTTCGAGCCCCGCATCTGGCTCTAGGCTGACAGCTGAGAGCCTGGAGCCTGCTTCTGATTCTCTGTCCTCCCCTCTGCTCCCCCCCCCCCCGCCACGCCATGCTCTCTCTCTCTCTCTCAAAAATAAATAAACATTTTAAAAAAAGAAAATTAAAAAAAGAAACTTTAGCTCAGAAAAGATACCTAACCTGTGTAAGGTCACACAGCGTACATGGGTTATTACTGGGAATTTGACCCAGATCCTACCTCCACAGCTTGTGCTTAAACTTTTTCTTGCCCATTTCACAACTGCAGCATTTTTGTTGGTCTTTAAAGGTCCTGTCTTAAGCTACTTTGTGGAGAGAGTTGGCGTTTAATAGACACAAATGAATTAAAATAGTGTTTATTCTGTTTAATATGGGCGGAAAGAGACCAAGCTAAAGGTCATAATCATTGCCTTGCAAAGCCTCTAAATGTATCAGTTTGCTGTCACAAGATTAACACAAAATGCTGGCAGTCCCAGTGAAAAGAAACAATATTGCATTCTTAGCTTCTATTGTCCCAGTTACTCTTTACAGAGAAACTTGAGTTCATTAAATGTTCCTAATGGGAATATGTGTTAATATGGATACAAAGCCAAACTTCAGCTGATGTGGAGAAGATTATTCTTCTGATTATTTCCCCATCACCGTTGTGGTAAAAGTGCCAATGTCATCATTTTCTTGGCTCAAAGACTTAGTTAAAAACAAGGATATGCTATAGTAATCTGAGGGGCAGTTTTCAAAGCCAATAGTCGCATGTCATCGTTTCCTTAATTCAGTTACCTTTTCAGCGCACATGCACACAAAATGTATGTTTTAGATACAAGCAATTAAAACCATTCAAAGGCTAATTAAATCAACATCAAAGCTAAATTAGAAAACTATTAAAAGAACCTCAAAAGATTCATTCTCTCTTGCTGTCTAGCTACAGAAAATAAACTGTACATGTAAGCACAATTCTTGCAGAGCAAAAAGTTAAGAAATAAAAAACGGTTTTTTTTAAATTATAACATACTTAATAATTTATTTTTCAAAAGAGCATGTGAATATATTGTATTCCTCTAAATTCCATCTAATGAAGAAACTATAGCACATATTTTCCAATCCTTTTTAAAATCAAAGCCTTTTTTTTTTAACTGAATAACTATCTATAAACCCTTTAGTAAGATCAGATTAAGTTCTTATGTCAGATTATCTTTTTGCTCTTAAACAGTACTTTATGGAAAGAACCAGTCATTTATCTGGCATATAAACTAAGGTAGAGGAACACAGAGGAAATTAACTATAGTATAAATACTAGGAATCTCCAAAGTCATCCCAAATAGTTTTTAGAATTATTAAATGATTTCAGAGTCACTATTTTCCTAATATCAATATTTTTTTTAAAAAATCTGTTAAGAGAAGTATTCTTGATCTTAACAGGAACATGCATTTGTTTGGTACTATGGCTTTTAAAGGCTTAAACTATATTATCTTGTTTAATTTATGGGGATAAAATAGAGTGGATTATTTTCTTTTCTTTTCTTTTCTTTTCTTTTCTTTTCTTTTTATTTAGGGGGTGTGAGGGTTTGGTAACAATTTCAGTCTGAATCAACATTTATTGAACACCTACTGTGTAGAAATCACAGTGCCTCTAAAGAATTAATTTATCAGTAAAGCATATATGAAAATAATATCAATAGAAAAACAGCATAAAAAGGTATGTGTTTGTGTGTGTTTTCATGAGGAACTAATCATTTTTTTGGCATCAGCAAAGGAACAAAGTAGACCTGGTATTTCAAATATTTTGAAAGTTCTCTGCAATAGAATCATTGGAGAATATATGTCATTTACCGTCATTATGATACATTTCAAAAACGCTGTTTAATACATTAGACCATGAAGAATATATAAAAATAAGAAAAACACAATGATTGCTTTCAAGGTTTTAGAGTCAAGCGTATGTTTTCTAATCAGACTAAGCTCCTGTAATCCTAAGTATGACAGTAATTATTTCTTTGATGTATTTATCAGTAGTAATTAGAGATGTGATTGGAGTTTGGAACATGCAGGTGGAGGCAGAGTCAAAAGCAGAGGCCAACGGGCACTGACAGGAGGGCAGGTGACCGGGATTGAACCCCTGACTTTAAAGAGCGCGGTCAGACTGGGGATGACCAATGTGGGATCAAATCCTTTCAGCCCATTTTGTTTGGAGTCCCACCTTACACACATGTTCCTGCAGGCAGACTCAGGGCAAGGAGTTCTTATACGTCTACACAGTCTCTGCATTCTATCTTCACTCCTCTAATCTCTCCGTCTTTTGTTTTAACATCGGGTTTTTCAGCCTCATCACTATCCAGTTTGGACTTGATAACCGTTGCTGTGGGCGCCTGTCCTGTTCATCATGGGGTGTTTCTCGGCATCCCTGGCCTCTGCTCTGTTCCAGCAGCAGGTCCCCTATCTCCCCACCCTCTGCAGTTTTTACCACCAAAAATGTCTCCAGATGGGCAGAGGCAATCTTAGTCAAGAACTACTGCTTCAACTCCTTGGACCATTATTCAGAAAGTCCTTTCTGAGAACCCGATGCAATGTAGGCAATAGATTCATTGTGTGGAAGGAAGAAACAGATTGATGTTGAGAAACCAGGGGCTTCCTGCGTGAACTAACAGCACAGAATTAATTATTGAAAGTCAAGGGAAGAAGGAAAACAATCCAAACTAAATTTGATCTTGAAAAACATGGAGTCAAGTTGAAGTTAGTAGCGTTTCGAACACCGCTTAGTCTTCTGAATGCCTTGCACTTCGTGGCGGAGGTCTGAGGGAACAGAAGGCTATGTGAGGAGATTCTGGGCTGACCCATACTTTCTTGTCTGAGCTTTACCATTAAGTGGTTCTGTCTTCTTCTCTGTCTTCAAACTTGTGAATCTCAAGGAGGTGTCTCACATTCCCTCACCTGAGGCATCACTTCTGGAACTTCTTGGCTCACTGAAGGCAAAGGTGGTGCCCATAGAACAAGTTCTCTCCTACAAAATGAGAGAAAAAGAATGTCAGTGGGTGAAAGGAAATGAGGCACTACGCCCCCAGGTGCATAGGAAGATTATAATGTCTTTAAGTAAAACCCTTGCCAAATAAATCCACCATGCAGCTTGTAATTTCCTCCATCCCTGTGGGTCTCCTCCCAGTGCTTGTGTGGCCTCACCCAGAAGGGGACTGAGGGGTACTGGGACATCCGCCCTCAAAGTTGTGCCTCCCACACTATCCTCTTACCCATTTTGTCAATGCCACTTTCCTTTTATCCTTCCGTAGTTGTCTTTTTCTGTTATGTGCTTCCTAACTGTCCTAAATAAAGAATACAGTACACACACACACACACACACACACACACACACAATTCTGAAAATACTCAAAAAAGATAAAAAACGGATTTCCTTAACGGAATTTAAATTAGAGCTGCTTCTAAATTTCTGCCTTTGAAGTAATGAAAACCTAACTTTGGTAGAAGACCATGACAGAGCTCTGAGTCCTTATGCACGTGCCACGAAAGTGTGCAAGCCAAGGAATCCTGTGGTATCAGGTGCACTGTTTGTCCGTGGATCAGAAAGTCGAAGTGAACGTTACCCTGGTGATTAAACCATATGGGTGTCTTCCATTTATTTTGTGACTTCCCGGTATTTATTTTACGTTGTTGGATTAGACATATCGCAATTCTTTTCCAGCTTTTGTCAGGTATAATTGGCAAATAAAATTATTAAAGGATGTACAGCATGGTGATTTGATATGCGTATATATTGTGAAGTGACTGACCACAATCAAGTTACCGAGTACATCACCTTACGTGGTCGTAGTTACCATCCGTTAACTCACGTGTGTTTGCTGACAACATGGAAAACCTACTCTCCGCAGACCCCAAGTGTCCAAGGCAGTGACCAACTAGTCACCATGGTGTCCCCCGGAGCCTCAGAACTTCATCGTCCTGTAACTACAAGTCAGTCCCTTTGACCAGGGCCTCCCCATCACCCCTCCCCCCCCCCAAGTCTGCTGTTGCCACGAGTTCTACTGTTTCTGCATGTAAGTGAGATCGTACAGGACTTGCCCTTCTTTGTCTGACTTATTCCATTTAGCAAAATGCCCTACAGGCTCATCCATGTGTCCCTCACTTCATTGTCTACCTCAGGATTCTCTTGGGATTCCCTCTCTCTCTCTCCCTCTCTCTCTCGGATTCTCTCTCTCTCTCTCTCGGGATTCTCTTTCGCTCGCTCTCTCTCTGTCTCCGCCCCTCTCCTGCTCATGCTAGCTCTCACACTCCCTCTTGCTGTAAAATAAAAAATAATAAAAATGAAAATGAAAAATATTTTCAAATATGTTCCCATAGATGTACAAAATAATTATTCGTACTATTAACCACACTTTGGTGCTGCTTTTTTTCCCATTTCAATAAAATTGTGACTGCACAAAACTGCAGTGTATGAAATGCAATAAGGTTGTAGTGGTTATTATAAAGTTATTGGGTATAAAAATAGAAAGATGAGATTTACATGGAACCCATCAGCATTATACACTGAGTATATATAAAATATATGCAATATTTTCTCTCCACTTCTTTTTCCGGCAGATGAGTTAGAAGTTGTGCAGTTCAGTAGCACAGATTTATGACCCAATTCCAATGCAGTTTTATTAAACTGCAGGGTTGTTAGGCAAATATTTTTAAAAATCAAGGCAAGAAACTAACACACACCATATTGAAAGAAGTTAGACCCAAGAAGAGCAACCAAAAACAATTTTTTATTAAAACAACAAAAACTCAAAATTAGGTATGTTACATATATGTATGTTTTATTACTATTATTATTAGTATTAGTATTATTATCCTTATTGTTATATAAAGATGTCCAAACCTGGCAGAGGAAAACTACATGAAAAATTTAAATAGATAGTTCAGTCCTGTGATTATTGTTTCATAATCATGCTTCCCCTTCGCATATAATCACATGGAAATACAATCAGTTTATTTTATGGTTTATTTAAAGTGCTGATGGGGCACCTGGTTGGCCCAGTCGGTTGAGCGTCCGACTTCGGCTCAGGTCACCATCTCGCGGTCTGTGAGTTCGAGCCCCACGTCGGGCTCTGTGCTGACGGCTCAGAGCCTGGAGCCTGCTTTGGATTCTGTGTCTCCCTCTCTCTCTGCCCCTGCCCTGCTCACTCTCTGTCTCTCTCTGTCTCTCAAAAATGAATAAACATTAATTTTTTTTTTTAAAAAAGAAAAGAAACACCAAATGAAATATGGTTAATTTCTGTATCAGTCTCGTAACAAATATGGACTTAAGCACAATTGATACTGAATCGTGATACCTTATGTAGTAATAATGATGTCTGTGAGATAAGTATTTTATAATAGGAAACCTTGAAAAACTTTAGTCCAGATGTTAAAGTGGGATAAATTTGGGGCGCCTGGGTGGCGCAGTTGGTTAAGCGTCCGACTTCAGCCAGGTCACGATCTCGCGGTCCGTGAGTTCGAGCCCCGCATCGGGCTCTGGGCTGATGGCTCAGAGCCTGGAGCCTGTTTCCGATTCTGTGTCTCCCTCTCTCTCTGCCCCTCCCCCGTTCATGCTCTGTCTCTCTGTCCCAAAAATAAATAAACGTTGAAAAAAAAATTAAAAAAAAAAATAAAGTGGGATAAATTATTTTACAGAAAATTAACACGCATTGAATCTCAATAGTGTAAGTAGGTATTTAGCTAGATATTTCTACGCATGTTAATTTTAGAGAATTTTAATGGCTGCTAAACTGATATCTTAAAGAATTATTTTACTGCAGTCTCTCTGGAATTTGTAAAGTGTATACATGTGATATTTGTATTAGCATATACGTGTCGCTTTAAATTACAACACTGATCTTCCCATGATTTCCCAATACCTAAGGAAATACGAGGGTTCTAAAAGATTTGGTAAAGCACAGATTATCCCTGATGACATCACTCATTGGCGTCTGGGCCTCAACCTTCCGTCATCATCTTGTAAAGTGTCAGAAGGAAAGCAGAGAAGCTTCAGAGTGGAAGTTTATTCCTTTACAATGAGCTTAAAATCAACCTTTACTTTCTCAAGTACTGCAAATAGGGACTGTAACTAATGTGGTCATTAGTCAAGAACATAAAAAAGTTTAAAGGTGATATTGTAGATTAGGATTCCTTTTGTGAAAAAACAACAACAACAACAAAAAAAAAAACCACGTTAAACCCAGGGCTGTTAGCTCCTTGGATTCCAGAGATAACAATGGTCAGCTGGGAAGATGAAAGTGTTTTTCATATTGGCGAACTCGGGTGGCAGCCGGCCAGGGTGCAGTTAGGAATCCTGGCTCTGCAGGACGGGCACAGGGACTCTGCCATTAGCCCTGCCCCCTGCTGACACCCTTCTCCGTTGACCTGGCCCCTGTTGATTGTGACTCTTCCAGTTCAGGAATGGTGAGAAAGTAAGAGGCAAACTAAATGGGTAGCAGCAGGGTAGGGTTAAAAACTTGGGGGTGATAAGTCTCTTGTCTCTCTGAACTTTTTCAGGGCAAGCCAGAAAGCAGCCTGTTTCTAAGTTTTCACTAAGACAGTGAAGGTTATCCATTCATTTATTTAATCCACACAGATATATTGTTCACCCACGATGTGCTCACTGTGCTAGTAGGTCGGTGTTAATTGGCTATAGTTGGGATACAATAACGCAACACAATTAGCATAGCCCTGATAAATAATCTGTAGTTCAATCGCCTTATATTTGATCTTAATTGGAATGCGTGAGAAATGATCACACAGGTACTACATCCGAATACTTCTACAATGTGGATCTACCTTTTCTGCAAAGTGGTTACCCACTCATTCCCCATTTTCTCTGCTTTGTGAGTTATTTGTCTACACCGGATTTTTGTAAAGAGTCATTTGTGGATTAATAACAGGTGCTACATTTCTCATTAAAGGGGTGATGATTGAAGGGGTGAGATTCTAACATTTGATACAGAAATGTGTCCTTTATGGCATATTTACTATGGCAGACATTATACACCCAGTGGATATGAGTCACGAAGCAGTCTTATCTCCAGCTACATCTTTTCACTGGATGAATGGTTGCTTGCGGCCATGATTAAACTTGTTTTCTATTTGTGGACATAATCCCTTCACCCAACCATTGATTACTTTCTTTTTTTGTTGTTTTGTTTGGGTTTGTTTTTTTTTTTATTTTTATTTTTTTTAACGTTTATTTATTTTTGAGACAGAGAGACAGAGCATGAACGGGGGAGGGTCAGAGAGAGGGAGACACAGAATCTGAAACAGGCTCCAGGCTCTGAGCTAGCAGCACAGAGCCCGACGCGGGGCTCAAACTCACAGCCCTCACGGACCACGAGATCATGACCTGAGCTGAAGTCAGCCGCTTAACCAACTGAGCCACCCAGGCGCCCCTGTTTGGGTTTGTTTTAAACTTAGTTTTTATTTGAAACCGAATTTCACATAATTGACTTCTGTGCTTATCTGAAATTTTTGCTTCTTAAAATTTAGTTTCACACAATCAACAATATAAAGCAACTTTGCTCAGATTAAGATATAATTTTTGAAAATTAGTGGACCAGTTGTAATTTTTCCACGATTGTTCTCTTATTTAATGGTGCGTTACAGTTGTCTTTAGAATTCTCATGTTGAATTAACCATAAATAGAGTGAGCATTCACTTGCAGAGATACATGAGTTCAGTAAATTACTGTGTGAATCTGTGTTAGGATTTGAACTGATCTTAGGTTTAAAGTTTTGTTGCCATTTCGTTTTCCTTCATTTCTTTAGTTTAGAGGTCAAAGGTCATAACAAAAACACTGAAGCTTCTGGGTGTCATAACTTTCTGGACTTGAGACCATGGAGTTTCCAGAACCATTTAGATTGAAGAGAATTAGCTAGAAAGCACTGTTTCACCTTTGAAAGTGACAACTGTATAATTCCAGAGTCATTATGGAAACAGGACAAATTTCCTAAGGGTGAACAAGCACAGGTAAACATCTTTGTGAGGAAATTCTTATGACTGTTAACCCCCAAGTTAGAGGGCGACATTGGTTCAAAGATTGTAGAACAATGAAAAAGAGAGAAAATGTGATCATTATTTAAAATACTTTGGAAAGTATATTTTTCATGGGTATTCAGTTTGAAAAGATGAATGAGTTAAAATGAGCATAAGAGAGGCTTGTATGGATAGAGCTATTTCAAACTGGTTTTGTAAAAAGAATAACATTCTTATTCACACAATTTAATTTGTGTAGAAGAAAGGAAAACCCCTAGAGCAGACATTTGAGGATTGTCTGACCAGCATCCACCCAGTCTCTTCTGAGAACTTCTTAATTTTTTATCTGATGAACTCAGATAAAACCTGAGACATAGTCATCAAGGAGTGGTTATTGAAACCAGAGCAGTCTTTAATGTTTTCAAACTGGAAAATGGGGGGGGGGGAGTTATTTGGTAGTAGGTGATTTTTTTTTAACTTGGTTTTTTTTTTTGTATTTACATCCAAATAAGTTAGCATGCAGTGCAATAATGATTTCAGAAGTAGATTCCCTAGTGCCCCTTACCCATTTAGCCCATCCCCCCTCCCACAACCCCTCCAGTAACCCTCAGTTTGTTCTCCATATTTATGAGTCTCTTCTGTTTTGTCCCCCTCCCTGTTTTTGTGTTACTTTTGTTTTCCTTCCCTTATGTTCATCTGTTTTGTCTCTTAAAGTCCTCATATGAGTGAAGTCATAGGATTTTTGTCTTCCTCTGACTGACTAATTTCACTTAGCACCCTCCGGTTCCATCCACATAGTTGCAAATGGCAAGATTTCATTCTTTTTTGATTACCAGGTAATACTCCATTGTATATACATATACCACATCTTCTTTGTCCATTCATCCATTGATGGACATTTGGGCTCTTTCCATACTTTGGCTATTGTTGATAGTCTCCTTTGCTGTGCAGAAGCTTTTTATTTTGATGAGGTCCCCGTAGTTCATTTTTGCTTTTGTTTCCCTTGCCTCCAGAGACGTGTTGAGTAAGAAGTTGCTGCGGCCAAAATCAAAGAGGTTCTTGCCTACTTTCTCAAGGATTTTGATGACTCCATGTCTTACATTTAGGTCTTTCATCCATTTTTTAGTTTATTTTTGTGTATGGTGCAAGAAAGTGGTCCAGGTTCATTTTTTGCCTGTCACTGTCCAGTTTTCCCAGTATCACTTGCTGAAGAGACTGTCTTTATTCCACTGAATATTCTTTCCTGCTTTGCCCATATGTGTGTGAGTCCATTTCTGGGTTCTCTGTTCCGTTCCATTGATCTCAGTGTCTGTCTTGTGCCAGTACCATACTGTCTTGATGATTACAGCTTTGTAGTATAGCTTGAAGTCCGGGATTGTGATACCTCCTGCT